AATACAACCATTTCCACTACCTATACTTCACAGTAAATCAACCAAATTATTAATCAGTGCGTAATTTAATTAATTTAAAAAACAAGGAATCGACCGTGCAGCCGTATACGTGTTGGAGATAACATTATGTTCAGACAACACAGTTTTTCTTTTAAATGTCTCTTTCTTTAAATATAAAAAAAATACTTTTTCTCGGATCATGCGCTGAAACAGGATCTTCCTCTATTAAAATTATACATAACGCAGGTGCGATTTACGTCATTGATACAACGTTAACCCGCTATTTTTAATAACGTCACAACTATTGTAACGTCATTTACGCGTGACGTTACGTTTTTTGGCAATTCAAAAATTTACGTTGGCAGCGAAAGGGTTAAAAGAATTACTACGTTTTTATCTTGTTTTATATGTACCAGATACGCAAAACCTGGATGTGTCTATCAATATTATTTATACCATAGACTCTTATCTTTAATTTTAGTAATGAATAAGACTCCAATTTATATTTCTTTAGAAAAAAATATGTGGTCCAAAATTGAGTTTAGCAATTAACTTTTTGAATTCACCATCCAATTTTCATTACGTTATAAAACCCAATACATTTCAATGACAGATTTTTTTCCTCATGTTATTATGAATACAAAGTACAAACTTTTGAGTCATTCAATAAAATCAGTGGGCACTCGTATATTGAGAGAAATAAAAGGAGTCAAATTTACCTATGTTTTACCATTTTTCACATTTAAACCGATCCCGACCGGAATTATATAAAGTAGGAAATACTATGATTGTAATGTTAAATTTGACTCTTTTGTTGTAATATGGCCAAAAAATTACTTGATTTATTTTTTTTACATGTCTTATGGGTGGCAGCTGTCTTTAGTTTTATAACTTTACACATTTTGCATTATTTTCAATCGGGATCGGTTTTATTTCAATCGGGATCGGTTTCTAAAACTCTAAATATTCTGCATCAGAACTTTTATTTCTGTTCAGTTAGTCTTATTTTATCCATGGATTCAAATGTTTATACAATGTATTTAAAATACTAATGTCTTTTACGTACATGAAGATTACAATCATGTATAACATCTGTTCGATTTCTTGATACTCGGTATTAAAAAATCAAAGTATTTGTACATGCATTATGCAACAACTGAGAGTAAACAGCTTATCTTTATTAAATATCTTATTTCCAACTAAAGTTTTTTTTAATTCTCTCGTGAATTAAAGAGTTCAATTCTATCATTGGTGAAAATATACTTGCACGTACCTAAATGCAGAAAATAATTTAATGTGCACAGTCTCGGCTTTGTCCAAATTTTTTAAACCTGTCATCTATAAAAGCCGTTTCCCCTATATTTTCATCTTATAAAATTTAATTTTATATTAATAAGAAAATAAGTTATTTCATATATAGTATCATTATTTAAGAGTCCATAAATCGCAAGCAAAAAGCCGGGACGGGGTGGGTGGGAGGGGGGGGGGGGCAAGGCGGCATATTTAAAAAACACTTCCATTAATGGGAAAACATTTAAGAATTGGCCAACATAGTCAAATGTTTTAACTTCATATTGAATGTGAGTATGTGATTGTTTCAATCACCAAATTTAACCAAAAAAGAAATAAACAAACAAACAAACAAAAACAATACAAAACAAAAAATACGCCCACGAAATCTTCCGTTTTAGTGGCAAATTGAAGTGGGGAGTTCAACAGTAATTTACTCAATAATTATTTTTTAAATCTTATTTTTCACTCTTTTAATAAAATATTTTTAATCGTACCGCGGATCGTATACTTTGATTTGACTGCGTAGATACATGTAAATATAATCAAGTGGTTTTTTTTGTTTGTGTATGTGTGTGTGTGTGTGTGTATGTGTGTGTGTAAAAATATTATGAAATAAACATCTCAACTCCGTTGACTTGAATTAAATGTTGCGTAAATCTGAAATATTCATCTTTCCTTGATAATCAGAAGAAAATAAAATCTCTTCACATCCCAATTTTATAAGAAATATTCAATATAAACAATTAATTAATTGTACGCATAGCATAGTCAATCAGTTTAAAAAATTAGTTCTCGGACATGTACAAAATTACATTTCAAAAGGGACTTCTAGCTGAGACGTCGCTCGTGAAAAAAATACATATACATATGATTATTTAACATGTAGGATAATGCACTCTGAAAAGTAATTGAACAGAAAAAGAGAAATTATTTATTTTTAATCGTTTTATTTGCGCTTTTATGCAAAGAATTTACAAACTTCTTTGGAAAACTTGTAACTATTTAATTGTGACGCAATATTAGTCAGGTATAATGACGTCACTGATACATCAATGGAAACGTGGATTCAACCTGAATAATACTGCCAATCTTAATCTAAATATTACGTTTGGAGGCGAAAATGAGTTCTATTTTGAAAATAAAGTAGTAAGTTTTTGTTAAATAATTTTATTTTCTGTATATATTCTAAATATTTCACTAGGATTTCGATAGTAAGGTGTTTAGCAGATTTACCGATGCCACGGGAGGTAACTCTTACATCGCAAAATTTCATAAAAACGTCTATATATTTTGACAGAAAACTACTATCAAAAGTGCTTTGCCCACCAATTTTATTTTTGAAACTGAAAGACGAAATATTTCTAGATTTAGTTCAGCATGAATTATAGTCCTGTTAAATAAGTATTGGAAATTACAGTTCGTTGTTTCTGACCTAAATTCAATGGTTTATATAGGGGAATTCAAGAACACAAAACAAAAGGATATTTTACTAAATAACCAATTTTAAAACAAATCTTCGATTACATTATTCCATTTGGACTACATTGATATTGTTTTCAATAAAATTTCAAATATTCGTCACATTCGATGTGCCGCCTATTAATACAACCCTGCCTGATTTTCAGTGGACTGCCTCTTAATTCTTAAACCAAAAACAGGCTAAGTTGATGTGATGATACTTAACAATTTAATTTAAAGCATTTGGTAATTTCTTGGTCGTTGTAATGATTTCAATTACCCTTAGTAAGTATACATCCTATTGTTTAATCATATTTAGAATCGCAGGATTTATGCCACTTGCTAGGCAGGTCTTTTTTGAATACAAAATTAGACTTCTCTGCTTTT